TGATAGTTTACAAACTAGAAGGATATTGTCTGTTACAAATGACAAAAACATGGACACCTCATAAAATTTTATATCTCAAACATGTACTAGATAAAGGAAAGAATAAGGTTAACATGACATCTAATTTTGGATGATGCACTGATATGTTGCATAAAACTACCATTCATATCATATATCATGGATTATGGTTCATCATTCTATGTCAGTCAATGTAGAGAAGTAAGGAAAAATTCCAAGCATTATATATAGTGGCAAGGTGAGCCTAGAAGATGATAAGAGTATTGATTTTATGGGTGTTGGGATGTTGGCCTTCAGACATATCTTGGCTTGAATTAGATATTTAAGAGTATTATGTGCATTCAAGTCTGATGAGATTGCTAAAATATATAGGACAACTGGACAATAAAAGATATCATGTGAATTTTAGGGGTAATTGGTGGAATGCGACAAAGGGGAAGTTGTTAGTTTCATGCAGACAGAAACATGAATCTTTGTACATGGTTGAGGCGTTTGCATACAATGAAAATGATGTTATTAAAGATGTGGGTGTGTCTACTCTATGACACCAAATACTGTTGGATTAGGTGTCTAAGCCCATAACTATAATTGGTATGTACTTGAATTGATAGCAGCACAGTCCTTTTGGGTTGCCCTCAACCTAGCAACTGGACAAAGAAATTATGAAAGGAGAGATATTAATTTATAAGATTAATAAATTAATATATATATAATTGATTTATTAATATGTTAATGGATTAATATATTAATTAGAAATCATTATGTTTAATTAATTGTTAGCCAGAAATTAATCAGAATTGATTTTGGGGTTAAAAGAATTAATTATAAAGTGCAGGGACTAGTTTGCAATTAACTGATAGTTGAATGGAAGGATCCAGAACTCCCTTGGAAGGGGGTGGACGAAAACCCTAGGGGAAACCCTAGAGAATTCGTCCAAGGGGTCCAAGATAAGGCCTTGGGTCTTGCTTAGGCCCTAAGCAAAGGATAACTAGGGTTTCCCCTAAACCCTAGTTCCCTCAACTATTTAAGGAGCCTCCTGGCTCACATTTTGGGTATTGATTTCTTTGGAAGAAACCCTAAGGCCGAAATTGCATACTCTCTCCATCCTCTCTCCTCCAAGTTTCCTTCTTGCTAGTTCTTGGGTGTGATTCCATTAGAGGCATTACATTTGTGGTGCTAAGCTTCCAAGAAGATCAAGATCAAGATCAAAAGGATTATCAATTGTTTGCTATAACAATTGAAAGGTATGTAAACCCTAAACCCTAGTTTGTTGATTTCGAAATTAGCCTCTCTCCTCTAGGGTTCTTATTTTGCAATTCAAAGTTGTATGTTCAATAGTTAAAACATAGATCCAAAGTAGGTTGCATGTGAACTTAGGAATTGTTTTCTGGTTTATTTGTTTTACCTAAAACCCATCAAATACATGGGCAGTTTAGTGAAATTGTGAGAAATGTGTGATTATGCGATTTCTTAAGGCGTAATTCCATATTTGAAGACTATGATTAAGAACTTTGTGAACCATGTGTCCTTGGAAATTATAAAAAGTTTACATTTATGAAGATAAAAAGGTCATATATAGTTCAAAAGCTATAGTTTTTTTTCATAATTGTGTGTATGGCCCTACATTAATTTATTCGGTAGAAGGATCACGATACTAGCTTACCTCTATAGTAGATTCTATGAGAAAAGTAAGTGTTTATTTTCTAAGAAATAAATATGAGGTCTTCTATACATTTAAGTAAAAAGTTATGTTAGAGAATGAGACTCAATTGAAGATAAAGTGTTTGAAGCCAAATAATAGAGGAGAGTATAACGAGAAAATTTTTATTGAATATTGTGCTAAGATGAAAATTAAGATGGTGCAAATATCTATAAGGATGCCTAAGGAGAATGGAGTTACAAAAATAATGAAAAAAAAAGTTGAATGAGAGAGAAAAGACTCTGAAACTTTATGTAAGGTTGTTGAAGATGTTCATGCATATTTGGTAAATACACCAACGTATCTAATCAATCATTAACCCTCGGTTCTGATAGAGTTCAAGATTCCATAAGATATAAATGCATGGTTAAGATGTGACTCTTACATACTTAAAAGTATTTACATGCGTCTCTTATATCAAGATCAATGATGTGGGCAAATAAAACCATGGGGAAAAGGCTAAGAAAAGCAAGTTTTCTAGCTATGGTTTAGATGAGAAGGAATAATGTTTATAGGAAGAAGGGTCATCAAAATAAAAATGTAACATTCCAAGAGAATTCATTATATAAAGACAATCTTTAAGCATACCTAGAATAAAAGAGAAACCACACAGTAAAGATCAAGTTATGTTTGAGGGGTTATGTAGAATAGCATTAAAATACTAATCAATAATTCATATATAGGAGAGATCTCGGGAAGTAGTAGGATCCTTAGATCAGAGTGGGAGTTCTAAATTTGATTCTAAAAATCAAGTAGATTTGAAAACCTAGACTATTAGAAGATTCACCATATAGAGATTGTCTCTAAATAGATACTCTCCATTAGAAAACTATTTATCTAGCAACTTTGAGAATGAAGGATTGTATATAATGGAAGAAAGCTACATATTGTAAGATAAGCTCATTTGATAACAACTAGACTATGTATTTCACTATTTTGTCAAATTACCCACATGAAAGAAAGCACTGTAAAACAAATGGGTGCTCTAGGTAAATGGTCAGTTGAATAAAAACAAGACATATAAGGCTAGATTGGTGGTTTATGAAATAAATGAAAAGGGGGATGAGTATAATCAGATACATGTTCTAGTTTGGAAGATGATTACGATCAGATTAGTATAGGATATTGTGGCTCTAGAAGACTTACATATAGAGTAACTAGATGTACAAATAGAAAGTATTCAAATTGTAGACAAGGAAAACCTAGAATGCATACTCGAGAAAACTTTATATGAATTAAAGGAAGTACCAAGAAATTGGTATTTGAAATTCAAAATTTCATGCAAAGGAATAAGTACACAAGATATGATACAAATCATTGTTTCTACCTCAAGAAGTTCCATTCAGTGTAGATTATCTTGTTGCTATTTTAATGACATGTTAGTGGTTGGATCATACATGGAGAATATTAACATAATAAAAAGGAAGTTGTCTAAGGAATTTGAGATGAAGGAGTTAAGAGTAGTTAGATGTATATTTGGCATGATCATAGTCACAGATAGAACGTGAGCTACTTTAAAACTTTCCCAAAAGAATTATATCATGAACTGTTGGATAAATTCAACACGACAGATGCTAAAACCATAAATACACTTTTAGGAAGTCATTTAAAGCTCTCAAAAGAATAATCATCACAAATAGAAGATATAGCTAGGTTTCCTTATATATCAACAATAAGTATATTAGTATACAATATGGTATGTATTAGGACAAACTTGCTTATGTACTCCTTAAGTTTCATTGTGTTTCAAAAGAAAAGGGCTTATATTGAAAGAATTGCTAGATAAGACTTAAGTGTACGTTCATATTCGAAGAAGAACCACATGTTGTATGTTTACTATGGGGGTACTTTAGTTATTTGAATATCTATACTTCATAAGAGTTTCTATTTTAATCACATAAGCATAATACATGTCATTATAGAAAGTGAAAAGAAGTTTATCTAGCTGAAGAACTTCCTATCGAATTTAAGCATGAAACAAGAAAACTACAAAAAATCAATGTTTCATGTTAGGACTAAACAAATACATATGAGGTACCACTTCATTATAGAGTTGATTAGTGATGGTATATGTCCTTAAATAAAATCATTAGAATGGATAATCTGGTTGATATGTTTACCAAGGTAGTGATAAAAGAGAAGTTGATGCTGTGCTCAACTCAGCTGACCTTTTAGATAAATAATGAGAAAGTGGAAGACTAAAGAGAAGAGGTAACATTGTTTTGCGTTTATGAGAGGATGAGAGGTACATGCCTTGGAAGGAAGATGATTAGTTGATCAACCTCCATTCGGGAGATTGTTAGTTCTAGAGTCTAATTACTTCTGGAAGAGTTCAAGGGTGCCCCACATCGAAAATATTTCTCGTTAAAAATATAAATACCAAACCACGGGTGGTACTATGTTAGAGTTTCCACATTGTTTAGACACAATATATATATATATATATATATATATATATTATATATATATATATATATATATATAATGTAATTGTAACTTCATCCCAATATGGACAAGAAATCTCTCTAGTTCGCCCGTCAACATAGCATGATTAATCTAATCGTGTCAACCACGTAAATATATTGTATTATATATATATATATATATATATATATAATATATATATATATATATATATATATATATATATATTCCTTTCAACTTTTAATTGTGAGTTTGTCCTAAAAATATCCAACATACCACAGGTCCATCCAATCTTGCATCATGGTTATCTAAGTGAGACAGAGTGTTATATATTGATTGAATGTCAAGGCATATTATCGAGGGTGGCCAATGTTGCAGTTGAGACTAGTTAGCTTCGAAAACTGCTTCAAGAAATTTAGTTTTAGCCAACTAAATTTTTGATCGTGTATTTAGACAATGTGAGTGTCATATAACTTTCCGCCAACATGGTTCAACACCAACATACAAAGCATATTGAGAACGACATGCACTTGGTTTATGAAAAAAGTGGTTTTGGGCCATGCTCGAATTCTTCATGTACCATCCACCTCTCAGCATTCCAACATCTTCACCAAAGATCTTTCTACATCTTTGTTCATGACTTTTAGTCCACTTTACACGTACATACTCTTCCTCCATCAAATTGATGGGGATGTTAGTGTATGTATAGTAGATATATAACATCTTATATTCGACCATTATCTGGCCCATGTATAGTCGTTATTACCATGTAATGTTTATATTTTTTTATTATTAAGAGATCACATTCATGAAAACATATTTGGTACAACTCTCTTCAAAGGTCGGAGTAAAGGCATACCTTAGTGCATCCAATACAGAACCTATATAAGCATGCAGGTACTCTACCCTTGGGGTGTCTATCAATGATCCATTATGTTGTTGTACTTGTCCTATAAATCGGCCACCAAGGTAAGATGATGTGAAAGCTTCATAAGTAATTTGTTTTATTTATATACCATTTTCGTGGATGTAGACAGAAGGATTTCCGTATTCGTCCTTCAAAAAGTTAAGTAGCTTTTGGAGAGTTAATGGAATCACCGGAAACTGAGATAAAAAGTATATAATGAAAATAGGAAATTCACTATAATAGGAGGATAAAAGAAAGTATCATTAATAACATAGTAACATCAAATGATCAAACATTCAAACCTGACTGGGTATGATTTCACCTCCACTGTCTGCAGTTGGAAATAAAGAAGATAGTATATTATGTATACGTTTCATTTACCGACTAGTGTATGATGGTCGATTTACGTGGCTACCAAACAAAAGAAATATGTAAAATTAATTTAAAGTCAATACGTACATATAAGAGTTGCTGCTGTGTCTTCAATAGCATCCCTATTGTCCATTTCAAGACTACTGGGGTGGTCCTTCACATATGCTATGCCATAGTGGTTTATGCCTATGAAGTCGAATGAACCCTTGATTGTTTCTGATTCAAGTTTGGTAAAAGTTGGAATTCGGTTTCCTGCATTCTTCTTCATTATTTTTGGGTATTCCCCATTTACCAAAGGATTTAAAAACCTAAAGTAGAAACCATGAAACATATGTCAAAGTGAAATTTGACTTAAAAGACGATACTATGACCGACAAGAGTTTCTAATTAAATAAATGAGTCTTTTGGTAGTCCAGTTTCTATGATCATAATTTGTAAATAGCTACGTAAAGCATATTCAAAATTTTATTCTTTCAGTTTCAATTTGTGTGATCATATTCTCTACACAAATTAAATTAAAACTTAAAGCAAAATATAGCCAAAACGTATTGGTCGGTCAACCGATCATTGTCGATCCTTTTGACCCATATTGAAAATTTTCCTGTTTTGAATGTTACACGATTAACCTGTTATACAACGTTGAGCTTTTCTTAAATTTTATTGGAATTTATGAACACTCACCAACCCAAATTGAAGGCCATGACTCTTTCGGTGGCTTTGATATCTTCTATTGTGTTTGTATAAGGTTCAAACCATGTGGCCATGAGATCCATTCCAACAGAACCATGTTGCACAACCTGCATCACCAATGATATCATCCTAAAAAGTAGTGAATGGTTCTTTCTTTCTTTTTGTTTTGGCTAAAGAAGATACATATGTTGAACAATGAACAATATAATTGTACTACTCTCTCATGCATGGGCCTTACTTTGAAGAAAATGAGAACTCTCGATGTACATTGAAGGTGCTTTTTTGTTAGAAAATTAGGATAGAAACAGAATATGATATTCATTGGTTCTTCAAGGACCGTGTTTGTTCACTTTTCGAATCGATATTTCTTCCCTCTGTATGAGTTACGAGAAATTCGACCTAAGATAATCCTCAAAGGAACAATCGATGTTCTAGACACATAAGATCGATCAAGAACTAGAGAGAATTTGGTGTGTAAATTTTGAATGTTTCAAAAACTAGAGAGCGTTCTAAAGTGTTTCAAAATTCAAAAAACAACTTCATTTGGATAAGACAGTTTAGGGTTGAAAACCATACATAATTACATTAGAAACCCCAAAATCCAATAATGTCTATAAAGGTTCCTCTAGCGCCAAGGGGCGTTGCCCCTTGGAATCCCGCAAGGGGGCGTGACCCCTTTAACATGTATAAATACCATTAAACAACTTCTTTTGGTCGCACTAGAATCGATCTAGATTAATACAAGTGCGCACTTCGCACCACCGACCTCGTATTAAAACTAAAATATAACCCCATTTGAAAACATGTATAAATACCATTAAATAAATGAACCGATAACATTAAAATCACCAATATTTTTCTTGGTGTATACCTTTTTTTTAATTTTTTTTTTAATTTTTTTATTTTTTAAAATACATACTTACAAAAGAGAATGAATAAGAAAGCAAATGACTCCATGACTTTATCAACTAACTGCGATCTTTTCCATGCTAAAAATCAGGATAATTATAAAAGCCTAGATACCATTTATCTCCCTGTCTATTTGCAAAAATGATAAATAAAAAAAGAATACTAACTTGGTCAAGGGGAAGTCACATGATGTTAAATTACTTGGTTATTTTTTTGTAAAGTAAAGGGACGCCGTTTCTTGGTATAAATTTCGGATGTAAACAAATAAAATGGAGAAAAAAAACAATGAATAAATGTAAAATAAAATAGTTATTAAATTTCGTCACTTTTTTAAATAAAAGTTAATAACAAAAGGAAAAAAAAATCACGCGTTTATTAGTTATTACATTATACTAATATAATCTATCTATAGTACCTTTTTTGGAAACGGCATTTTTAGAGTACGATTCTAATATACCATGTGACCTTTTTTTAAATTTATTCACATTAATATTTAAAAAAAATATAAATATAAATATTCATATTTGAAATTTTAAAAGATTTTTTAAACCATATGCATACACATGTAAGAGTAAGAATGGATAGACTCGCATAAAGAATTCGAAGATTCGAGAACTTTCGGAGCAACCCGTTTACTTGATTATGCATCAATAATTATACACTTCTTTTATGTACGTATGTAACGAATGTCATTGATAAAGTTATATCTAATTATTAAAATTTTATCAATTCTATAAGTTTATAAAATAGTAAAAGAATCTATTCAATTATATAAATTGATGACGAGTTGGAATATAACTTTACAACTTTTAAAAAAAATTGTTTTGCTAAGTAAAAGGTAAATTACATCAATCATCCATCATGCATATATTAAAACGTACGTTTAGTCTCTACTTTCAAAAATTAACTCGGATTGTCTCTCGTTTGGTTTAAACTTGCATGTTTCGTCCCTTATATGCGGTTTTGTTGCGATTTTAGTCCGTGTCTAATATGAAATGGCCATTATGCCATTTGTGAATTTCTTTTCCAATTAATTTAATGTTAATATTATTACTATTAATTTAAAAATATAAAAATAAATTTGGCCCCAAACCCCAACCTTGATGCTGTTAAACATGACCTCGGTATTTCAAATCCTTATCCACTCTGGCACTCCATCCTATTTATCTAGAAATACCACCAGCGACGAACGACCTTAAAGTCAAAATCCGGCCACCGGACCACCACTTAGAATGGGCCACCACTGTTGGACTACCACTGTCTTTTTCTCACTTTCCCTTCTTCTATGAAGCAACAACATCACAGATGGCATCACAGACGGCATCAACAACGTCAAACCTTCGTTTTTAGGGTGGGTTGATGAATGTGAATCAGGCACCCGGAGGTGATACTATTGATCCACCAAAGGTGTCGATCGAAATCTTCATTCTTCTTATCCGACTCATGGGTTCTGATTTACAGGTTTAAGGTTTAGTTAGGATTCATTTGTAGGTTTAGGGTTTATTTAGGTTTAATTTCATGTGTTTATTTGGCAGATTTGTGATGGCTAGTGATGGCTGAAGGTCGATTGAAGAGGTAGTGATGATGATTGAAGGTTGATTGAATAGGTGGTGATGATGATTGTTAATGGATGGTTTATGGTGGTGATTGTGGCTGGTTTTGTGCAGGTAAGTGGCAAGGGTTGATGATGGCGGTCGATGGTGTGTAGATTGAGAATGAAAGTTGTGTAATGTTGGCGAATGGTTGACTGTTATGGAGGGAAAACGTTTATTGTTAGGTGGTGAAGATAATGAGTATAAAGGTGGTTGATGGTGTTGTGAGATGAAGAAGACGATGTTCCCCTTTCCCCCGGTCAATCCCTTTTCTTTTTCACTATACGGTGGTAAAACTGTGATGTATGCTAAAGTTCAACAATCTAGAGCTCGAATCGAGGGATTTCATGATCGATTTTGTTTGCTTCATTACCGATTTTAGGTTTGGGGAATATATACAGTGGTGGATTGTATCAAAACAGAGGCAGGAAGATGTGGAATAGAGGATAAAAGAAGGTGGGACCCACAAATATTTAATATCTTTATAAAATAATTATATAAATAAATTAAAAGACTATATAAATGAATTACAACATTAAAAGAAATCAGTAAGGGCAATATAGTCATTTTAGGTCTCGAGGGATCAAGTGTGTAAGTTTAAAATAAATGATGCACGGTCCGAGTTCATTTTTGAAAATAAGGATTAAACGTGCGTTTTGACATATTCACGAGGGACGATTGGTGTAATTTACCCGTTATGTAAATTTATAAACACAAGATATTCATTGTATCATGTATGGTAATATATTTATCCTTTGTTAATCGTTATCACGCACGCTTGGCTACAAATGATTATGAATTCGTAATCCCAAGTATTAATAAAACAATATATGATAATTGAAGTTATAAATCGTTTATATATATATATATATATATATATATATATATATATATATATATATAGAGAGAGAGAGAGAGAGAGAGAGAGAGAGAGAAGTGTCAATTGAGAAAAAAAAAGATTGAGAATAGGGAAATTAATTTCAGCCACACATTTATTTTGCCAAAAAACACTTGAGCGTACCGACGGAAATGAGAATGGGATACACGTGTGTTTTCAAACCAAACATATTTCTTTGAACTATGTTAATAATTATCTTTATATATATAAAAAACATAGTTTTTTAAGGAGCTATTTTTATCGAAAAATTATTTTAAATATATCAAAATTCATAATTTTTTATTCTATATAAATAGACATTCATATTGATATAGTTTTAAGATAAAATAATTTTTTTTTATTGTTTCAACTCTCGTTATTCATAAGTGAATAAAAATGCATCGAATTTTTATTATAGTGCGTTCGTTATTCACTTATGAATAAAACGTATACTTATTTTTTTTAAAAATTTTAAGTATAATTTATATATGAATATAATATGTAATAAAGTTTTCTTACCTAAAATATATATTTTTACATTATCTTTCGTCACATGTTATATTCATATATAAATAAAACGTGTATTAACTATCGTCATATGTTATATTTATATATGAATAAAATATTTATCAGATTTTGTTACAATTCATCTGTTATTAATATACGAATAAGTATTATGTTAATAAAAGACGAAGTGTTTTGAAAATTCAAACTTATTATTCATATATGAATAACAAATGAACTGTAACAAAATTCTGATAAATGTATTATTCATATATGAATATAACTTGTGAGAAGAGATAATACATGTTTCATTCATATATCAATGATAGTTAAACTGTAAAAAAATAAAACATATTTTTTATTCATAAGTGATTAATGAGTATACTGTAATAAGATCTGATCAATTTTGATTCACTTATAAATAATGAGAGTTAAAACTATAAAAAATAAAAACTTTATTTTATCTTAAAACTATATCAATATGGATATTTATTTATAGAGAATAAAGAATTATGAATTTTGATATATTTAAAATAATTTTTCAATAAAAATAGCTCCTTGAAAATTTAACAAAAAAAAACAATGTTTTGTATATATTAATGTAAAGATTAACATAATTTAAATAAACATTTTAAGTTGGAAAATACATATGTATTCATTTTTCCTTTCTGCCGGTAGGATGGAAGGTTTAGCGGAAAAAACAAATTATTGGTTGAGAATGATTCCTCAATTCTTAACATTTTTTATTTTATCAATTGAACTTCTCTATCTCTCTCTCTCTCTCTCTCTCTCTCTCTCTATATATATATATATATATATATATATATATATATATATATATATATATATATATATATATATATATATATAATCCAGTTCCGATGAGAGCTAAAAAAATGGTGAGGAGTACGAGGACAATTCCCAACCACCAATTTCGTCAAGGGAACAAACGTCAAATCCAATACTTAATCGTGGTGCATTCGCATGCGACCCACATCCGTGGTAATTAATACATACTCGATGATTTAATGGGTTTTATTTTTTATTTTTGATTTTTATATTTTTTTATATATATATTTTTTAAAATCAAACAAAAAATAAACAACTATATACTCAGTTTTCACGGTTTTTTTTCACCTTTTCTATATTTTTTCGTTTTTTATTTCGTTTTTTCATGTTTTTTTATATCTTTATACATACTTGAAGATAATATTATTTTTGTTTATTTTTTATTTATTTTTTCGTTTTTTTTTTTATTTTTTTGGTTTTTTAAAACTAAATATCGGTTTGGGTTTTTAATGTTTAATAATTACAAAGGATCATAATATTTTCCGTTCATACTGTTTTTGAATCATATTATTTTTGGATAATAAATTTTGAATCAAATTATTTTGAATCGTATTATTTTAAATCAAATCATTTTTGAATCATATGATTTTGGATCAATAATGTACTCAATTAAATAAAGTTGTTGTTCACTTCTTTTTTGAATCATAAATATTTTGAATAATCACATTTTGGATCATATTATGTTCAACATTTTTTTTAAAAAACTAATATTTCTTAAAATTAAAAATATTACTTCAAAAACTTATTAACCGCGGACGAAAATTATCAATATCCCACACATAATTACTAAAACGCCATCTTGCGAGATATTAACGATAAATAAAATCAAATTTCCACCTTTTATTTTTTCAATCCTACGATAAAGATTTGTCGTCGCGGGTCGCATTTATTTTTGAGTCCTCACCCGATCCAACTTATATATATATATATATATATATATATATATATATATATATATATATATATATATATATATATATCACTAAATGCCAATGGTCACTTTTCTAAAGTATGATTCTAATAATATCATGTAGCATCTTAAAAATTTATTCACATTAATATTTAAAAAAATATATCAATATCAAAATTTTGAATTTCAAAAGATTTTGTAAACTACATCTCAACTTATTTGGATTTTGGATTTATTATGACGTCTACATATCTTAACATTTAAAGTAGCAATCCTTTAATTTTTTTGCATGAACATCCAAAACCATATTTTATTATTATTCGCTTTAAAATGATATTCGAATTTTGAGTTTAATCTTATGTATATATCTTTAAAAAATTTATAGTTGTATCTTTATAAATTGATAATGATAGTTAGTTTGTGGATCGGTTTTAATTAATCATTACATTTTACATAATTCATCTCTTATAAATATTTATAATATTTTATTTTTGTATCTTAAATATCGTCCACATCTAGCAAAAAACTTAGTATATTTTGAGTAAGTAACTCTTAAGCCATTAAAGCACTGATCTTTTGCTATATTTGAAAGACATAATTCTATACAAATCATATAAAAATATTAAGTCATTAAAGCACTGATCTTTTGCTATATTTGAAAGACATAATTCTATACAAATCATATAAAAATATTTGTTAAAGTAATTAATTATTTTTTAGAACTATATGATGTTTATATTTTTTTCCTTTCATGGGAAGATAATAACTTTTTTTATTTACATAATATTATCATACAATCATTTTAACCATCTTTTGTTTGAAATAAAAAGCAAAATAAAATTATGAATCATTCAGTCTCATTTATTAAAATACAATATTATCATATATTGATAATCATATCTCAATATAATTTAGTATTGAATTTTTAATTTTTTTAGTTTTATTAATTGATTTTCATATTCTATCTTATAAACCTGCGGTTTCCATGGGTCTCTAACCTAATATTATTATATATAATAAAAATCAATTGTTTTATGAATAGTAAATTTTGGTGTTTTATACTTTGGACACAATATTTTAACATGTTGGCAGGTTTGGTCTCAATGTAGAAAATAAATTACAAAAATTGTCACTATAATTTACAGAAAACGTCCATATACATTTTTTTTATAGAAATTATTATATATAATAAAAACCAACAATCGACTTTGGCCACACCATATTAACATGTTAATGGGTTTGATGCCTATGTAGAAAATAAATTTCAAAAGTTGTTCATTTAATTTATAGAAAACATCCATATGTAGTTTTTTTTACAGAAATGATCATGTGTTTAAATAATATACTCTTTAAGTTTGACATTTTTGCCACAAGACTTTCATATGTTAGCATGTTTGGTCCTTTGTAGAAAATAAATTATAAAATTGTCCCTATAAATTATACAAAAAGTCTCTTAGCCTTTTATTTTATTTTATTTAACAGCAAATGGTCCATATGTTTTAAAAAGAATAAAAAATGGTCATTATCTAATAGAAAATTTACATGACTACGACCCCTACAAAGAGAACATTGAAACTTATGAGTTTTGTAAAGACAATTGAATATTACCGGAAGGTACGTCCCCCACGAAACGGGGAGAAAACAATTTCTAGTTACTAATTTATAAGATGACATAAACATGAAAGTTTAGGGTTTATGGTGAAAATCTTATAAGAATATTATTTATTAAATATTTATAAGATGACTAATAAAAAATATAAGATATTACTAATAAAAAGTTTCAACTGAAAATCTTAGAAAGGCAAAAGTTTTACCGAGTATTTTTCCCAGTACAATCTTACAGCTGATGCATGTGCCAGCAGCATATGGTGAGCTGCAAGGTATGGCTCGGTGGTAGAGTCACCTTCGCTACAGTTAAATTCCCCAAATGGGAAAGAACAACGTCCAGGAGGTGTCACACCCACATCATAACCACCTAAAGCCAATGCATTGGGTTCATTCAGAGTAGTCCAGTGCGAAACCCTATCACCAAATTCTCTGAAGCAAACGTCAGCATATGCAACAAAGTCTTTCCTGCATTATACGTACACAATGTCAAACCATATCCATATGATCATGCACCTTAAATCCTTAATTATAACACAAACTGAACTTGTTTTAATTAGTTTGAAATGTACACTGATTTTCTACTAAGCCATCCTCTGTATTCATCTTCAAGTATTTGGGGTAGATCGAAATGATTTAATGTGACATGTGGTTGTATTCCTACATAATTAATGGGAGTGTAACTCAATCTTTTTATGTAATGTAAAAGTATGCATATTGTTGGCAATTTAACTATTTAAGTAGTGTTTCTTCCAAATTAATAACTCAGTTATATCTGACCATGGCCAATAAGCCTGTTGATGAAATCATTGTAGAATTGTAAGCCCTTTACATTGATGGATCCTCTTCCATCTGAAAATAAATAAGACTGTGCATAAACAAGACTGCAAAATGAAGTTACTGAAATTTCGAGAGATCCGATCATTAAGTGAGCCTAGCTACTTGGGATGAGTCTGGACCAAGAGATAGAAAATCTAAATGCTTCCAAGCCTGTGTCTGCCATAAGTTCAATGTCTTCCTGCAACATCCGAATGCAGTCAACTCAAAAAACAAGCATGTGCAACGTCTTATGCTTATTTGTTGTAGGTTGTGGCAATTAAATCACTATGATAATGATATATACCTTGTATTTATGATACCCATCACATGCTATGTCTCCATTTGGTCCATTGTACAACGGGAACCCTTCATAATATTACATCAGAAATAAGAAATTACAACGGAACAGTTGAACAGAAAACCATGCCCTACATGTATTAATTACCTGAGTGAACAAACGTGTCCCAAATGCTTAAACTCCTTCCATCTTCCAGCACTGCTCCTTCAACCTTATCGGACATAGATACATTCACACAGTTAGCTCCAAATTGACTACACACACTTCAAACGAAAAATTAAGAGCGCATACCTTACCTGATAAGCAGAGGTTCCTGCACCAAAAACGAATTCAGCGGGAAAATCATCTCTTCCATATTCATCAACCACACCGTATACAAAGAATCGTACATGGTCATAGTTTCCAATCACCAGCAGAAGAGAAAGAGCAAGAAGACAGACAGAACTCGACATGGTCTTCTGCAATCGCAAGTGATCGTTGAATCAACTATCTTCACACTACATATGATGATGATTGATGAAGTACAAGCATCTTAACCTTGTGTTCTAGATTTATTTTATAGATAAATGGTTGGAATTCGAAAGACAGATATTCTGGAAAGAATGGACAATAAAGAAAGATTTAAAACATGGAACATCTGTTACTATACTTTTTCATTCCTTGAAACAGTTTCCGTCGGTCTTATTCGGGCGTTATTCGGGTTCGGATATCAGCAGGTAATTTGGGCATATACCAATACTTGATCTGAAAACCAAACTTAATATTAGTACAATATTCACAATTATTAATTTATGTATAAATAAATTGTGAAGAATATTTAAAACAAATCAGAAAAGTCAACAAATATTAAAGACGTTTATATGTTTTGGCTTACTAAATCAAATTAACTTAAAAATATCATCCAAACAAATATGTTTAAGATTACTAAATCAAATAAAATAAAAAATGTTTATACTTTTTATTAATCCATCAGATCAGATATGTTTCATGCTTTTAAAATGAGAGGAAAATGTTAATGTTGTCCCACATCAATGGACAAAGAAAAAGAAAGCTATTTCCATGTATATAAAACAAGAAAGAAGGCATCAGAAAAACGTTCTATGTTTAAAAGACAACTTAATGGTTTTTGAATAAAGTTCAAAAATAAATAGTTTATTTCATTGTTTAATGATTTAAAGGGGATGCATATTTGTCCTACAATTTTTTTTTCAACTAATGAGCATTGCTCGTTTATGCCCGTTGATAAGCAACTCGAGGTCAAGTTTCAAAATTTAGGCTTTAAAGGAGTGGAATGTGGGATTAGATTGTCTCCGAGTTTATCTATGTAAACAATGTTTAACCCCAATTAGGAGAAATTTAATTGAAAATCTAAAATCCAAATGGCATACGGTAATTTTTATTTGGTTAATCGGTCTGAATAACCCAAAGCTTGTTTGGTTCAAATGGGTTATGCGGTTATGTTTTTTTATGACAACCCCACTTGCACCTTCTTAACGTATCCCACTAGGAATACGTTAAAGATAACAAAATTGCTATCTTTAGGACGACCTAGCTAACGGTCGCGAATCCGTCCTAGTGCCAGACCCAAGCACTCGCCCTCGCGCCCAGGTCCAATTCTTGACAACAATCTCCGGTATATAATAGGACAAAAAACAATTGGTCGTCTCCCAGAGCGACACGTGTAGCGCCCCAGGGCGTTGTCCCCTATTTATTCTGCACCAATAGCAGATGACCACTAGTGGTGCACGATCCACCAATGAGACTCCTCCACGTCCTGTCGGCCCAGACGGGACAAAGGACACTGTTAGGATCGTGTGCTGGGAACAACATGTATAAAAGGGCCCTTAGTCTCCAGAAGAAGAGATTGCCTTCTTTCCATCTTAAACCCTAATTATCTTATCCTCAAACATACACTAACTAGACCGTCGGAGCTTCGTCCCGGGACCACCTCTCGGACGTCGACTAATGTTATCTCTTCATTGTTGTGATTACAAGACTCAACCCAACCGAAATCATCAAGTGATGGTGTTAAGTTCAAGGCCTATATCACAACATTTGCCGCCATTCGGGCGTGTACTCATAGTTACAAAACCATGATACGACTCTAGACATCAACGATGACGGGAAAGGGACCTATGGTGTCCGACAGAGAAGAGATGAGTCCACTCAGATCCATGTCGTCGCTCGACGACATGTAAGCATCCGTGTCAGAGGGACAAGCCTCCACCCAAATGCCAGCAACACAAGTATCAGGTTCCACAACGGAAACTGCAGCGGCAACAATATCCGCCCTATGGAGACCGCCACCCGTCACAAGAGAGCATCTGGTTACCACCACGATTGCAACACCTCAGATAACGGTGACCCAACAGTCGCAAACACTAACCCAGCAGCCACAACTATCGACTAAGCAGTCGCAACCGGTGGTTTCTCAGCCGCAATCGCTACCACAGCAGGCGGGGACGAACACTTGGTCCCCAGGAACCATATTGTCTTCCACACAACATCCAATGTCAAACTACTAGTTCTATCCAATAGCGGGCATGCCGCACATTCTGCTTTTTGATCAACAACCTCCAATGCTCAACCCCTACTTCCATCAGTTGTAGGGATCCATTCCCTAAGTATCACCGTCGCAAGAATCCAACCCCTCACTCGTCGTCGACACAACAACTCAATGCCCATGCTCAACAGCCGCAGGGGCCGAACCTATACATGCTCCAACAGCCGGGATCGAGCTCACAACTATAGCAAAATACGCAATCATGATGTATGGTGGTTTTCCATATCCACACGTGGAAAACCCAGTGAGGAGCACCAACTATGCTTTTTTCCAGGAGCTCTTTCAATATGAGATCCCACACTCGACGATGATACCAAACATCCCCAAGTATGACGGTACAACCGATCCTGACGAGCATATCAACACTTATGAGTTGATGATGATGTCGCTGAGGATGGACAAATGGTTCACATGTACGTATTTCCCCGTTATGCTATCGGGAAACACATGAAAATGGTTCAAAGCACTACGACCTGGCAACATCTCAAGTTTCGAACATTTACGATACCTTTTCCTCAACAATTTCATGCATCTAAGGAAGGGCAAGGGAGATGCGAATTCGATAATGGCATGCAAGAAAAAGGAGGGAGAGTCGATAAGGGCGTATTATGACAGATTCACTCTGGCAAGGCTAAACGTCCCGGTCCACGAGGAATTCCTTGTAACTGGCGCTTTCGCCCAAGGTCTACCCCCCGACCCTTTGTCAAAGAAGATACATGGGACGATACCTCAGTCGGACGAGATTAATATAAAGTCGAGAAATATCTTAGACAGATAGAAGGTGAAGAGAGAAAAGAAGCCAATCTAAAGGAGGAAGCAGTCTCTCGTCCCAAAACTGGCCATCGAGAGCGCCATGACAAGCACAACCGACACTCGTGACACCCATCCAGGAGATATCATCCATTTGGAAAAGACGATCACCGGGGTCACCGAACCGATGTCCATGCAATCGATAAAACTCCTTCGAAGACGGAAAAATAAAAGGGCAAGTACTGTGAGTTTCACAACAAAAAAACTCATGATACTGACGAGTGCATGGTACTGAAGAAAGAGATTGAAGAAAACCAGCTAAAGGGCAACCTCTCCGACATCGCAAAGGACCTGAGATCCAAGTTCGACGCCGATCAGAGGAATTCCTAAACTCAAAAAGATGCAGGCAAGTGCCTAGAGAAAAAGAGCGACATTTTCACCATCTCCAGGCCCCGCAAGAGAGGTGAGCCCCACAAAGCAAAGGATGACACCGAGGTAATATTTTGTAACATACTCAATATCAAATTTTCGATAGATGACCCAAGGCCACCAAATTGGTGATGGAAAACATAGGTTACAAAACTTTTCTTATGAAAATCGATTTCGATAAAATAAGAAACTTACCTTGAATATTGTTATTGCAAACAACCTTGAATCCTTCTTCAAATCTTTTGGATGCTAGTACCACAAGCGTCGTGCCTCTGATGGTTCACACCCAAGACTAGCAACTAAGGATTATGGAGAGGGAGAGGTAATTTCCGGCCAGATCTTTATCTAGGGAAGGAGTGCCAAAATTAAGGAGGAAACCCTAAATCCCTAAATCCCTTTGCTTGGTGTCAAAGCTAAGTTTTAAGGAGGAAACCCTAAATCCCTTTTCTTGGTGAGTAAGCAGTCCGTTCCCCTCTTTCAAAGGGCTTGGACGAAACCTCCTTGGGCTTGCCCAAGTGATTTTCGTACACCTCATCTAATGAGGTCCATGGGCTATTTTCCTTAACTTTCAATAAATAACCAAACAGACCCTGTACTTTTAATTAATCCAATTAATCCCAAAATTAATTTAAATTAATTTATGATTAATTATTAATTAAATATTTCTATTTCTAATTAATATATTATTCTCATAATATATTAACAAATCATTTATTCCAATTTAGTAATCAAATAATAAATCAACTTTCTCTCCAAAATAATCCTGTCCAATTGCTAGGTTTGAGGGCAACCCAAAAGGACTGTGCTACTATCAATTCAAATTTATACCAGATATAGTTATGGGCTTAGATACTTAATCCAACAGTCTCCTACTTGGATACGTCTGTAACTATAACTGTCAGTATAACTTCCAAATTGATCAACAAATTGTAGCTACCAAATGTTGTTGTCGAACTCTGACCCAGTCAGTTACGCGTCCTAAGATAAGTGATCATATAATCCTCTGTTCTGCAAGATATCATTCAGACATGAGACATGGAATAGAATCAATCTCATTTTCCAATGCTTTGTTTCCTGATTTTTGATTTGTAATGACAAAGAACTACTAATCGAACACATCAATTTAGTCATGGTCGGGCCCGACACTATAAGTCAACACAAAATCACCGAGGGGCCCAAAGATATCGTTTTTCCCGTTAAGGCAAAAGGAACAGATAAACTTTGACTTATATGTTTGCTCCATTACTTATCAAATCATGCACAACAATATGTTTTATAACATCAAGTTACTAATGCGTTTACATATCATCAATGCACAACTAATTTGTAAACCACAACTCATATATCTTCGTTTAAAGATTATAAAATATTATCGCCTTAGTATTACTCGTGATAAATTTCATGAAGTAATTCTTTGAGCGTGGGTTAATCCAATACTTAAATTTTAATTTCAAAGTACTCATGAACATTGCAGCAGACCATTGCTATGTCTAAAACTCTTCAGACAATCTACAATCCAATTCACGATAGTCTTAATTCACTACTTACTTCTAAAAGTACGAACGACTGTGGAATTTGAATAATCGAATTATTCGGGAAGTAAAACATGCAAAATGAAACACAATAATAAACAATTGACAAAAGGTAGTAAACAAACTCATAAATAACTTTCTCTATTATTTAATCACCGACAGTCAATTACATTTACTT